AACCAAAATAAGAGAAACGGTCAAAGCACAGCTCACAGAGGAGGGGCTGCACTTCACAATAAGGTGAGAGTCCTTAGGGTTCACGTATGTGACCGGACCCCAGCATGGGAGCACACAGTCAGGGACCTGGATCATGATCACTAAATTCCTGCCCCCCCATACACACCCACCGCCTAATGCTCAGGCAGCTTTGGTGAGTGTTGGGGTGGGCGGGGGGCGGAGCCTAGCTGTCTGTCTCCAGGATGCTGCATATCAGCCGAAGTACATTTGCGTCTGTCATTTTCTGCTGCTGTTGATCCCAAAAACTCCTGCACAACACATGTCAAATGTGCATAATTCTTGGGCCTGGTCCCCTGCCCCCACCCCCCAGGACAGTTGCCCTCCCAAGACAGTGGAATACAGAGACGTCTGGAAGCTCTAGAGGACATCCACACAGTCCTCTGAAAGAAGGATAGAAGTACGTTTGCACCAGTATTTTCAGTAGATGTTCAAAATATATATGATCATCTTTGGTTTGTTTTTTTAGCTTAAGGCTTAAACAAGCACTTATTTGTATTCATTTATCATAACCGAGTAGCCCAGCCACTGGTCAGTTCATTCACCCTACTTGTCTTCTTCAGGGTCTGGAGCCTATGCTGGAAGCTATGGACACAAGGCAGGGGAATAACCCAGGATGGGACACAAACCCATTTCAGGGCACATACACAGACAGACAATCTGATAAATCCATTTCACCTTAGTATATGTTTCAGGAGGGCTGGGAGGAAACTGGAGGAAGCCGCATGACATCACAGGGAGAAGATACACACTCCACAGCAATGGAGCTCTGACGTCGACAGATACCCAGGTGCCAAAGATGTGAGGCAACAGGGCGAACCACTGCAACCACTGCAACCACTGTAACCACTGTGCCACCTCGCCATGCCTCTATAGTTAGATTTTGAACAAAACAGCCTTTTTAAATGTGTGTGTTTTAGCTGTATCAGAACAATTGGTGTATTTTGCAAATATTAGGGAAATAAAAATGTTCCTGTCCACAACCAGGCCAGAGGATGAGACAGCAAGGGTCACGAGGATAGACTGCTGGCTGCAGCCCACACTAGATACACCATACAGATCCACACTAACGCAGTGAAGCAGGGTTTTAGGCTGCACTCAGGCTAGGTGATCTGTACCACACCGGAGCACATTTCGACACCCAAAATGTAGTTCATTTATCTAGTGTGATCGCTCCACTAAACCATGCAGTGGGTCTGGGCACAGTTCAGTTGGACTGAGACACGGTACGCATGAGCACGGAGCACTGACATGACATCAATGGTGCTACTAGGACACACATATACGCTATAGATGGCCTGGACCCGGAAGGAACAGATCGGGAAGGCTGCACAGATTGGGTAGCATTAAACATTTAATACACATGGTGGCAAAGGGATCAATTTGGTTTGCAGCAGAGGTGCAGTATTTGCTGGACATAAGGTCTTGTGAGAGTATCCAGCATCACCTCAATGCAACACAAAAAATATCTTAGATATATTTGCATGTGCAGCACTGCACCATTAAATGAAAATCGCTACGTTTCATACTTGATAAATTTCTAAGCAGGTTGAGTGGTCCCACAATCTTTCAAGACACAAGAAAGGCATCTAGACTCTTCTCTGTTTCAGCACCTATATGGTGAAATGAACTTCCCCTAGATGTCCGACCAGCTGAGCCATTGGGTGCCTTCAAACGACGACTAAAAACCTACCTCTTTCGGAAGTACTTGGAGTAGCACTTTCAGGATTTTATATTAGTATTTTATATATATTAGTATTACTTGCCAGAGGTTTTCTAGAGTGATAGTATTCTTAGCTGGGTTCTACTGAACCAGTATCTGTTACGGAGCCGTGGCATGGTGTAGGTGGGGAAATGGGGTGATGATCCACTTGTGGCTCAGAGACTAACAAGGGTTTATTGAAATGAGCAAAGAACAGTGGGGATATGCACAAAGAAACAGGATCACAAGGGATCACAAGGGATCAAAAGAAAATATGGAAACCAAGAGTTAACAAGTAACAAAGGTGGGGAGCAGGTGACACCAGGAACAGAACTAAGCAAACAGGCAGAGTAACATTAACACAGCACAGTCACCTAATTTTAAAATAAATAAATATTACAGTATTTTAAAATATGACTCACTGCAGAACAGAGTAGGACAGGCACTTAAATACACAGAAAACTGGGGCAAACAAGGAACAGATATAAGACAATCAATTAACCAATCAACAAACACTGGTGCAAGAAACAGGCAACAGGTGGAACCTGAGGGCAAGTCCAAATCCTGTAGGTGTGAAAGGTGCTGTGACTGGCAATGAGTGCGGCGATGAGCCCCAGCCAATGAGAGCGCAAGACACGGAGTGAGGCGAAACCCGAGGGAGATTTACAATGGTGTAAAAAGGTCTGTTTGTTTACAAACTGTTCTTAGTGTTCAGGGATACACACATACGCGTGCAAGGGTCATCTTAGAGAGAAGTACCTTCCTGAGACTAAACCGAGATAAGTGAACTGTATCTAGTAAACAGAAGGAAAGACACATAAGCTTAACGTTTACCCCTAAATGCCACACTAATGTCTCTTTTTTTGTCGCTTCAGCAATTTTACTGCATTATGTACTTTCTGTTTTTGAAGAAGGGTTATTGTAAATTGTGAAGACAGGTTTTGCAAATGGTTAAATGGGTGTTTGATAGGTGTTTAGATGCCCTAATGACAAAACATATTACAGTATAAAATGGCCATACCGTTAAATTTGATGGGTATTTTATTGCCAAATAACAAAAATGAAATGGGTACAAGTGTGTGTTGTTGATGTATGTAGAAAATAAATATGACCTGTGAAGGAAATGATTGTATTGCAATTTTTCTAATAAACTTTAGGCATTCGTTTTTATATATGAAAGTATGGTAAGTCAGTGACTAAATGACGACTAAAAACCTACCTCTTTCGGAAGTAATTGGAGTAGCACTTACAGGATTTTATATTAGTATTTTATATATATTAGTATTACTTGCCAACAGAGGTTTTCTAGAGTGCAAAACACCAACAGGTTCTAGAAGAAAACTAGTTTTATTCAACCAGGAAGTTGATGATGCAAAAATGGTTCACCATTCAACATGATGGTGACCCAAAGAGTACTGCGACAGAATCTGTCAGTACAAGGACAAAAAGAGCCCTTGAGTGACCTTGTTAGAGCCTGGACCGTCTAACCAACTACATGTATAGGTTGAAAGCTCATCGTGGTCACCAAGCAGTTTAACTGAGCTGGAAACCTATATAGATGTGATCCTGTAAATGTTTCTTCTTCTAGATGTGCAAAGTCAGCAGAAATGTACCCAAGCAAGCTGTCTGGGGTGCAGACAGTAAAAGTGATCCAATTTTTAATAAGTGCTCTGTGAGCTACTAATTTTTTCCTTGCAGGCTACTAATAGCTCACAGTCAATGTGTTAGCAACCACTTCTCCAGGCTGTAATTCCAATATTGACCCTGATGGAATGTCTTTTTAATACAAACCACAGTTCATGTTATTTTTTTTTTCCTTCCAGATATTTTATGTTCCTTGTCCAGTTGGATATTGCAAGATATGGTGTCCAAATAAACATGATCACTTCAGTTGTTGCGTGTTTTGGATTATAGAGCAAAAATAGTCAACATTTTGAAGGGGGGTGATGATTTTCTATGCCCACTACAGGTGTTTCAACAAGTGTGTTATGCAGGGCTGCCAACTCTCATGCATCTGGCATGACACTTGTGCTTTCAGATGCTTAGGCAAGAAATCATATGGGAAATTTATAGTATTCCATTATAAACCCAAAATTAGCTATATCAAAAGTATTGGGGTAGTTTGCAAAACCTTCAGATTATTTACAAGATAATAAAACTCATCATCTAAGAGAAGCCAAAGTAAACCATGGTGATTATCCCTCTACAGCAATTGTTTTAATACAATATGAATTCCACCTTACCCTTTGACACATTTGCATTTTTTTTTGTTTAGACTATTTGGGATATATTCCTGCCTTACAATGCATTAAAGGATTCTCAGATGTAAAGTTTGTTGTTACAACCAAATTGTAAGAATTACTGCTATTCCACTGTTTTACCTGTGATTTTGTCTGTTTTGTTATGTTATGATGTTCAGCTTAGCAGACTATAGTACTGACATACAGGCATATCGAATGGAGACTTGTATAACAGAGGCAGTAATAGTGGATGCTAACGTGAGCTTCACCCAGATCAGTAACATAATACCTCCCATTACTGCATTCCTCTCACGTATAGTACTCTACTTGCATTTTACCTTTCCATTCTGGAAAAGTCCAGAGTCCAGACCGCAAATAAAAATGCGGGACAAATCTATACGTTTTATCTTTAAGGCCATTTTAATAAGGCGCCACTAGAGCTAGATGGGGCCAAATGGGAATTAATCTTACAGGAGGAAGCTGCGGGGAAACATGCAGGGAACATGAGAATGAGCTCGGGCAAGTAACTGGGTGAACCAGAGATGCAAGAAACCTCCGTAAATCTTTCAATATTAAGTTCGTATATTGGGTCAGTGAGCTCACATACATGCATACATACATACATAAAAAAGAAATTGTCAACCAAAATAATTGTTTAACCAAAAAGTAACCACATCTGGCCAAATGCTCAGGCTGTCTCTGAAGGAACAGGTCACTGAATAAACAAGGCACATCTGATTATACATTCTGCGTACAGCTCTCTGAAATAGCAAGCAATTCACAGCTACAGGCACCAAACCCACACATTAATGCAACAGCAACACTATTATTATTAATAATATAATGGTAATTATTATTAATATTATTATTATTATTATTTGACACGTCAGGCTCATAACCTTTTTTCGGAACGGAGAACTTATAATAACTTAGTATTCCGTAGACTTATCCAAATATGTCCCAAAATCCATAACAAGAAAAAAATGTTTTGAACGGATTACCTTTTATCCAGTCCATTACTTGTTTGGGTGTCCATTTACTTATAGGTTCCATTACCAGTGCCATGGTCGATGTCCCTCTTTTGAAACACAAGATTAGAGAAATTGGTTTTACTTGGCGTTAAAATGGATGCAAAAACATTCGCACATTTGTTCACATCACGACAAATAAAGCAAATTAATCTGCCAGAATCAAATCATTTTTTCCTGTCATACGACGGCGTAGTGCACGCGCGCTAACGCAGTTATTTATTACTATTATCATTTTCGTGCAAGCTATCGCTCCCTCGATTTCACTCTCTCGCTCAGCACCTAGGAAACCTCGTTGTAATACTGTAGAGAAACAGAGCGAGGCCCCCCCCCCCAGCCCTCACCGCTGCAGCATCACGCCAGCCGTCGTGGTATACTTCAAGAATGGTGCAATATATTACCCTGAGCTAAAAGACTTCTACACGAAGAACAGACTACAAGAACAGATGATTGCTAAAATATCTAAGATATCACATTTTATGATGATCATGATGATGAATTGTCGCAGAATCTACCCTAATAATAATAATAATCTCGTTGTGGTTATTGTTATTGATGATGATATGCTAGATAGTGCTACAAAATATAAAGTCTTTGTATTTCGATGAGTTCTTAAGCATCTTTATCAAATCATTAGACTGGTAACTGTGTAGTCATGTAAGCTGCATAATAAGGGTGACGGTAGTATGTTTGTGCAGGTCAGAAGGAAGAGGACTGAACTTCTAAATAATCCTAATAAATAGTGTTGTTAAAAATGCAGTTTTAAGCAGTTGAAATGTATTTTCAAATTATATTTTGTCTCAAGCAGCAGAATTGTGCAGAAATACACACTAAAAATCCTAGCTGCATTACTATATAATTGATGCCGGGAGTGCAGCTAACAGCGGCCTCTGCTGGTTGGATTTTTAGCGCAATTCAAGTGGAACTTCAAGTATAAATGTCAAAGTTTGGAGAAACGCCTGCAGCAACCGAAGCAGGATGCCAGTCCATTACAGTACACACACACCCACTGGCTGTGGGCAATTCAGAGACACAGTTCACCTAACTGCATGTCTGTGGGGTACCAGGAGGAAGTCGGCATGCAAATTCTGCACACACATACACACAGCCGTCTTATGGACTCAGCACAGATGCACAGACACACACACACAGCCGTCTTATGGACTCAGCACAGATGCACAGACACACACACACAGCCGTCTTATGGACTCAGCACAGA